TAGTGGTATCTATAGATTTTCATAGTAAAACACAATGTAGAAAACGACTAAATATCTTACAGCAATATACAGTAGCATCATAACTGTTACTATTGACACAACCACTGTCAATGATAGTAGAATGAGAACACTGAAAGATAGAAAGATAGTCACTATCACCACAGTTGACATCATCCCATTTCATTCGAAGATAGTCTGTACCGTAACTACAGTAAAAGGAATGATATCGTTACATCGCCAAACTATTTTAATGTACTTAGTTAGTCCAGCTCTAGAGTAGCTTGAAGCTCCAGTAAATCCCAACTGATGACAAATGACATTAGCTTCAGCTGAATCAAAATAGTAGTCATTACATATATTGCCCCATCCATTATCATACACTCTAACAGTTCCATAGTAATAAGAAGCTGATGATGTGTTATTACGAGATAGGATGATTGTTCCATTTGTAGCATGAAGTAAGTCTAAAGTAATATAATAAATGCATAAATATGGCTTACATGATTACATCTAGATGTAAATATGGCCAATTAATTGCTAAAATACATAAAAAGTTTGATTTCAACAAACTTTTGAATTCAATTCCAATTTATGTTCATAAGACATTTCTAATCTTTGATGCAGTGTTTTGCTTGGTTAAGTTGCTTGTCTGATTCTTACTCTACATACAGTATTGTAGTATATGTATACATTTATACATTATACCAAACAATTTGTGCAGCAATAAACATTAATTTTGGCTAACAAACAAAACTGTAGGTGACAATGACTAATATTTGGAGAATAGAAATAGACTTGAACTACATTGATATAAAATGTACTTACTGTGCAGGGCAATAATTTTAAGGACATTAATTTTTCTGAATTTTGTGATTCTTTGAAAATTCAGAGAAAATAATCAATTTATTATGGCAAACAGTGAACTTTAGCATAAATTAAATTCGCAAAATAGAGTTTGGGTGAAATTTACAGCCCTTGCAAACTTTGTGCTATACTGTGCTTAACACTAAATGGTACATGTAGTTACAAAAGCAACTAGCATATCCAAGGGGGGGGCTGAGGGGGCTTGAGCTAGGGTCCTCATGGCTGGGCTCAGAAAAAATTACTCAAATCCTGGACTCTTGCATCACTACCAAGCCTCTTAACAAAGCTATCTAACACCTCATCATGATTTCAGCAGTTTTCAGTGCTTCAATGATTGATCAGAAGTCGTCAGAAGTACAAAATTATTTTGACCACGTCGTAGTTTAGGAAAATAAAGGAAAATGCCGTTTTACCATCATAAATAAGGGTATGGCCAAAATTGCGGTATGCTTCATGCTGTAGATTACTGATAATAAATTTCACAAATAATCATGCATCATAAATTGTTTTCATTTAATTCCATTAAAATTTGTATGCATTTCACAAAAATTTTTGTTAGTGAACTCGTAACTGCCAAAAACAATTTTAAATTTCCAAAATAAAATTAGTAACATTGAAAACTTACCTGGCAGTTTAGTACAAGTATTTTGCTCAATATTAAGTCTATTGTATGAAGCAATATCAGCTACATGTAGCAGAAAATAATTCACATTATAATACATGTACATAAAAATTACTGCCTTACTGCACTGGATTGATATACTATTGGAGTAGGAGCAACTAGTCACTGAAGTGTTGGGACAATTATTGTGCTCTTTAAAACACAAATCATATCCAGTACTATACATGTTAGAAGTCCAAAATGGTAAATTGTCATTTGAATAACTAAAAATAATTTTATACAATAATTAATTAGTGAACAAATGGGAATCACAAACTATGAAAGATGAAAGAACGAGGATGAATCATATCCCAGTTGCTTGCAGAGAGTGTTGGCATCAGTAGAGTCAAACCCATCACTGCATATTGTCCCCCACTGTCCATTACAATAAACCTCAACACGTCCTTCATTAGAATAATCTCCATCTTGAAGACGTACCATACCAGCATATGGATTACTGTTCCATATCCTTGTCGTATCTGTAATAATACCAAATAATACAATTTAACAAAACTAACATCTTACAGCAGTATACAGTAGCATCATAACTGTTATGGTTAACACAACCATAGTCAATGTAAGTAGAGTAGGTACATTGAGCAATGGATAAATAGCTGCTACTAATACAGTTAACATCATCCCATTTCATAGAAAGATAGTCTGTACCATAACTACTGGGCAAAAAATTTATCAGTATATCACTCACACTTTTATGTACTAATACCTAGTTAGTCCAGCTCTAGAGTAACTTGAAGCTCCAGTGTATCCCAACTGATGACAAATGACATTAGCTTCAGCTGAATTATAATAGTAGTCATCACATATGTTACCCCATCCATTATAGTAGACTCTAATTGTTCCATAGTAATAAGAGGTTGAAGACACATTATTACGAGATAGAATAATAGTTCCAGCAGCAGCTTGAGCTAATTAAATTAAAATGTACACATAGATAACACTAGAAAATGCTCTCACAATAGTATTGACTGCAAGTTGAAGCAGTGACAGTTCGTCTTTTCAAGGTAGACTCTTCACCTGAAATAAACAAATAATGCCAAACAAATAAAATTAAAATAAGTACAAACAAAAAGTACTTTTAGAAAAACTAATAAAATTTGCTAGGGGCAAACCATGAACACATAAAGCATGCATGGTGTGTCTTAGACTTAGCTAATTACCATGTAAGATTTAAAATTTTTCGAGGGTGGATAATTATAATAATTAAGAAGCAAAGTTTTATTTACAAGTGAGATTTTTTGATTATAAGGGGAAGAAGACTTGTTTTAAGGGGCAAATGCCTCCTCTATTCCCACCCTTAATTTAATCCTTGTTGTATTCCTGCATTTCCTAAAATGTATTATAAGAGTAATTGATAAAAATAGTTCTACCACTGTGCAAATAATTTCATACTTCTAATACTTACCACATGTGACAGCAACTGCATCTTTACAATTTGACACCAAAGACACTGGACAAGCATCAGTTACAAAGCAAACATCAGTCGGTAAATTAGGAGCAGAGCGACTCCACACAGTTGAATCACTAGAATTTTTATGCCTAAAAAATGAAAAATAACAATCTTTGGCTTTTATTTAATTTTAGCGTACAATGAAAAATTATTAAAACTGAATGATGTATCATATCCCAGTTGCTTGCAAATAGTGTTAGCATTATTTGAGTCAAACCCATCACTGCATATTGTCCCCCACTGTCCATTACAATAAACCTCAACACGTCCTTCATTAGAATAATTTCCATCTTGAAGACGTACCATACCAGCATATGGATTACTGTTCCAGATCCTTGTGGTATCTGTAATAATACTGATAAATGTAGCAAAAATAATATCTTACAGCAGTATACAGTAGCATCATAACTGTTACTGTTAACACAACCACTGTCAATGTAAGTAGAGTAGGAACACTGAGCAATAGATAAATAGCTGCTACTGGCACAGTTAACATCATCCCATTTCATAGGAAGATAGTCTGTACCATAACTACAAAACAACAGTAATTGGAATCAAAAAATAGAAAATACCTTGTTAGTCCAGTTCTAGAGTAGCTTGAAATGCCAGTGTACCCCAACTGATGACAAATGACATTAGCTTCAGTATAACTGTAAGCATAGTCATCACATATGTTACCCCATCCATTATGATACACTCTAATTGTTCCATAGTAATAAGATGATGATGCCACATTGTTACGAGAGAGAATAATTGTTCCCTTAACAGTACCATCTAAATCTAAATGAGTAATATAGTGTACATAAACATGCACAGCTTGCACTTTAACTACTACAATATTACATTATCATGCATGGTAAGCATATCATAAAGGAGTGGAGTCAGCAGTAGTAGTACTAACACCATAAACAGGAAATTCCATGCCTAACAAAGTTGCTTTGAATTCTAATGCTTCATAATACTATTTGTGAAACTGAAGTTCCCCTTTGTCACGTACATGCACTAAATGAATTAAAGGGTGTTTTTTGGACTACAAGCTTCTAAAACTCAATTATACACTTAACCATATTAGTGTTGGTAATCTATATGTAGTAAAGGAATCACAAATTACAATAAAAAACTGAAGATCCATGTGAAATGAATGTACATGCATGCACAGACTATTTGAAAATTGACATGTGCAAAATATTAAAAATAATGTTATTAATACCTCTAAAATCTAATCATCTACAATAAGAGGCAAAAATGAGAAAGCTAGAAAAAGGAATGAAACAATTTTCTAGCTTTGCATCACACGACATGGGAAAATTATTCATTTAATCATGCATGTAACACAAATTAGACAAATCCATGTACATGTAGATAAAATAACATGATGAAAATGACTTACTACAAGACTGAACATCAGCAGTATACCTTGTAAAAGTAGAACTCTCAGCTGTGGAAGGAAATTAGTATTCATCAAAATATTACATTAACTAACAGCATTCAACAGATACAATACTAGAATTAGAGCAATCCAACACTTCACTGCTAGGACAGGAGTTACTTTGAGTAAAACATACATCACTTGAGGCACTGTACAAGCTAGTAGTCCATATAGGCTGACTGTTATTAGCACTGAAGAACACAATAATAATAATTAGAGTATGCACTGTATGTGGCTCCCTCACTAATGGGAATTTGATCCATTGAACATTGCAAAGGAATCATATCCCAGTTGCTTGCAGATAGTGCTGGCATCAGTAGAGTCAAACCCATCACTGCATATTGTCCCCCACTGTCCATTACAATAAACCTCAACACGTCCTTCATTAGAATAATCTCCATCTTGAAGACGTACCATACCAGCATATGGATTACTGTTCCATATCCTAGTTGTATCTATAACAATACATAAAAAATGTACTAATTATAATGAGTTATCTTACAGCAGTATACGGTAGCATCATAACTGTTAGAGTTAACACAACCATAGTCAATGTAAGTAGAATAGGAACATTGAGCAATGGACAGGTATGAACTACTACCACAGTTAACGTCATCCCACTTCATAAGATAGTAATCTGTACCATAACTATACACAAAAATTATTTAGGTTAATAGTTGATGTAAAATATACATGTACATACCTTGTCAGTCCAGCTCTAGAGTAGCTTGAAGCTCCAGTGTATCCCAACTGATGACAAATAACATTAGCTTCAGCTGAATCAAAATAGTAGTCATCACATATGTTACCCCATCCATTATAGTATACTCTTACTACTCCATAGTAATAAGAAGTTGATGAAATGTTGTTTTGAGAGAGAATAATAGCTCCATTGCTTAAGCCTGTAAATAAAAAAGTCCATGTTCTCACTTTATACTGGCTGTAAAACATAACTTCAATGAAAATAATTGTGTGATACTGACAAACTCTACATGTACTACATGCATGATTTGATAAGATAAGATTAAATGAAGGCAATGTGGCTGATCAAATGAGTATATTTCACTGCCA